CTACTAGTGCTCATCGGCGGCCCTTCTTCCTCAGGGCTGCGGGGCTTTCGAGGTAGGCAGGCATTCAGGAACTGCGTCTTATCATGATATATGTAAGGCAAAACCCTTCCTCTTGCTGGTAGTAATAATGATAATAAATGATACTAATCATAATAGGAAGTTTTGGATATACAAATTAAGCATTGGGGATTACTGTGTATCACCAAGAGTGATGTAGCGGTACGGTCAGTATGTCATCAACAACTGAGATGTATGAAGGATTCACCAAATGAGGTGGCAAACGTCAGGCTGTCATCAACCTGGATGTGGTTCAGCGGAATTGCTGGCCCCCTATACTATGTAAGTTCGATGGATTATCAGAAAACTCGAATTTGACAGACCACCGTTGTTTCAGATAGACTACATGACAGATATGGGTCGATAATTGGATAATTACGAAACCCATTCCCCGCTCATATTCAACAGAAACCATGGTTTCGTATGGGGGTGAAACAAGATAAAATCACATAGTTGGGCCCATTAAGCATGAGGGGTCTTTAATAGATAGGGGATGGAATTATCCGTTCAGATCATATCTTATGATCAATATCCCGTTATCGTTACTATCAATATCCCATTATGGTTGCTTTTATATAATGACATATCTATCTATATCTATTATATCTATATTATATATATATATATTGTATATATATATAGTTGATTACTATATATATATAATATCCATGTTCATATGCACAATTGGATGATTCAAATCTGCTGGAGTTTCCACTGCCGGTCCCGTGATTGACCCAGGCACTTGCTCCCTGGCTTTGCGAAGGCCCAGCTCACGTCCAGCTTATGATCCTCCAACGACGGCGCCGGTTGGTTGGACGTGTCGCGATCAAAGGATGGTCGAAATCACGAGGTGAACTATGGAAACTATGGTTTATGGTAGATATATCTATAAATAATGGTGGCTATAAACTTATAAACCAACTTCTAATGGGATTGAATTGAAAACCAACATCCATCTTTAGTTTCGCCATATCTATAGAGAATGGTAAATATGTTCTCCATTTACCATACTGCCATAGTTCATAACATATGGTGACATAGTTGCTGACAACTTAATGATTAAGCATTGGGATCTGGCCGTTTTGGTCCCAGTTTGGGGTGAAGCCATGGCCAAAGATGGTGGATCCCCTTGTTGTTCACCCGGTCCAGCAGCGTATTTCCATCCATGGACTTGATGGCTACATCGGCCTGACGCGAGCCATGGTTTGGATGGGATTTTGGATGGGATTCATGGGATTTCGGGCGTCATTTTCAGATCTGTGGGGGCCTCCTGCTTGTTCTCATACTCGATGAATGCATAGCCCTTGACGAAGCCCGTACGACGGTCCAGATTCAGATGCCTCAGTTGTGAAGCCGAACAATGGGTCGCTCATCATTCAAAAGCATAGGCTTCCACAAGAATAAATCTAATTCGGTACCTAACCGATGCTTTAATTCTTACTGCTTTGCGGAGGATGTACTCAGCAAAATATGGCATTCCTCATTCCCATCCAAGAGCAGACAGTTACCATCTGGTTATTTAACATAGCCATGGAAAATCACCATGTTTAATAGGTAGACCATCTATAAATGGGTCATTTTCCATGGCTATGTTAGTCATAACCAGAGGGTAATATTAAAATGGGGACTCTCCCCAGATACATTGGGACCAAATCTTGGAACTTGTGGATCTTCGTTCGACCGAAAAAGGACTCGAGATGGTCATCCAACCGGAACTGGGAAAATCCAGAGCCCCATGGCTCGAGCCACACAAACTTTCAACAGCTGTCGTTCAAAAAGTTGCAGATCCAATATATAATATCACTAAGAACGTCAAATATCCGTACTCGTGATTGTTGGTGTTCTTATCTTTTTCAGAATATGGTCATAAAAAAATAGTTCGCTAAACATTTGCCGTGTTTGGGTTGGGGAACCCCCCATGTTTTTTTCATCTCGGGTAACCAGCCATCGCCAGGGGACAAGTTCTTGATATCTCCGTACTCTGAGAAGGCCTCAAAGATGTCATCCTCACGAAGGCTGCAACCACTCAGCTCTGGAAGCATCTTAAGGATGTCTAACTGGCCCTCCAATCAAGTTTTGATCTGCGGAAGCCTGCCATGTTTTTGGTGGGGTTGACATGCCCAAAAAAAAACACTTCTCACCTCCGCTACAATTTGACAAACCTGCAACCACAGAAGATTTTCAGTAACAACCCTTAAAAAAGGACTCAGAAAATGCTAAAATTATTGCGGAATGCTGGAAGATTTTGCTGGATTCTATGAACATATCGACCTCAACGGTTTCTCATCCTATAACTCACGAAGTTCATGGATGTTCATCCCTCATAGCCATCGACCCATCCACAAAAATCTCAATTTTAAGCTGGTAAAAACCCATCTTTAGTTTGTTAGATCCCATTTTTCTGTCTCTAATCCCATTTCTACTTACTTAAAGCACCGTTGTT